ATATATACACACATATATACACACACATATATACACACATATATACACACATATATACACACACACACATACACACACAGGTATCAAGTGTCTTGATGCCTTTAGTAATAGTAGTAGTGGTGGTGGTTGTAGTAGTAGTAGTAGTAGTAGTAGTAGTAGTAGTAGTATTTAGGTAGTTTCACACATCCTTCAGGAAATGTTTTTATTTTGTTAAATTTATATTCAAGATTAGCATGAATGAAATGTCTTAAAGTGATAGAACACACTTCTCTTTCTGTCCTGCAGGTGTCGCTGTTGGTGCATTTGAATCTGAGTTATTGCTCCGTGTTGTAAACAGCAGTAAGGTTCAGAGCTGACAGAAGTGAATGATGAAGTGCATTATTATGGGATGGCAGTACGGGCGGTCAGACCTCGTGAGATGACGTTGTTGACGTTCAGGGCGTCAGTGGGTATCAGCATTACTCGTCCTTGTTTCTGCTGACTTCCTGTCCCCGGCTCCAGAGACTCGACGGCTTCGTCCAGCGACGCCTGCTGGAGCATGTGCACGTCAAACTCTGACTCGTAGTACGCTACGACGCCTTCACCACCGTCGCCCTCACTGCAGACACAACAGGAGAGACGAGGAGTTCCCTCTTAATATAACACATCACTTATATGCAATTATCTTCCTTCTGTTTCCGAGGTTAGCCTAGCTTAGCATAAAGACTGGAAGGAGCTAGCCTAGCTCCGTTCAGAGTACTCCCTGTTCCTGGACGACTTTTACTTTGAAACATCTGCAGGAAGTCTTATCCTAGTTCTACAACAATGACGGCCTTCATATCCAAGTATATTACTTTCTACTACGTCATATGTATCATCAATATATCATTATTGCACTTTTTACTGAACTACATTTCGTCTTCTTTACATTTGTCGGACCGCTTTAGTGTTGATGAACATTGTGATGAAGTGTTGGAGGAGCGAGGTTCTCACGGGACGACGACGCTGCAGACCTGATCTATCTATGACCTGATAGATATGATGTGTTGCTGTAGATGTCAGGCGTTTTACTCGTAGTCGAGTATTTTCAGTGTGTTTTAGTACTTTTACACACATATTTATCATTAATCTCTGTCTGCATACAGACACAGATAATAATAAGAAGGTTGCAGTGTTAAGTGACTGAACACTTCCTGAAGTAAAGTTTCTCCTTCAGCAGCAGAGAGCTTGTGATGCGTACCTGAAGGCCTGGACTGTGGAGCCTTTGAAGTGTTTCGCCAGCACGGAGTTCTTGGAGTAAATCAGCTTCAGCTGAAAGACAAGAAGGTCATAAATAAACCAATAAATGTATGAATGATGATTCTGTCCAGTGTCGTCACAACCTCATCAAACATCAGAAGTAGAGACGAGAGGACGCTGTGGAGCAGAAGAGGCTCACCTGTCTGCTGACCAGAGAGGCCAGCTGAGAGAACAGAGGACTGCCGGGGTCCTCGTAGTCCAGCAGGAAAGCCTGGTTCCTGATCTCCATGGAGCCGATGTAGAGCTTCTTCACTCTCACGTCTCTGCGTACTGAAGATATGTGAATATACATCTCATAGAGATCAATGTGCTGCAGCCTGACCCTCGCATCATCATCAATACTTCTACTAACTCATACAAGTCTTCTCCTGCCTCGTGGAACAGAACCCAACAGAACAACAGAACAATGTGAAACCAGCTGCAGTGAAATGTTCTGTGAGCTGCACCAACGAACACAAACGTTAACGGAACAATTTCACACGAGCACCAAATATCAAATATCAAATATCAAAGAATAGAATATAACAAAAATAAGATCATGTTTCAGCCTCTCTCCTCTGTATCCTCTTTCCTCTCTCGCCCTCCTCCCTCTCCCCCCTATGTCTCCCCCCTCCTCTCTCTCCTCTCTGCTCTGTGTTCACTTCCTGTAGTTCAGTCAGTGTCTCCTCCTTGTAGTCACATGACTGTTGGTCTCAGATGAATCAATCATGACTTCATAGTTTTTACACACTCATATTAAAGTGAACTCTTTATTAGAGGAGACATTTATAATAACATGAAGAATAAAATGTTTTTATGAAATATGATTTTAAGCGTTGGGTGTGTTTGTGTTGAAGGAGCGTGGGACAGATGAGCGTGGGACAGATGAGC